ATATATATTTTGATCTTTACCTATTATTATTTTGAGAGAGATTATATACAATGTCATTTTTCCATAATTTATATTCATAAGATGGGGCTCACTATTAAAGCTCTATAGCCACAAATTCTCTGGCCAAGATAATGACTACTTCAATGTCACAAATATCCATTGGCTTAAAAATCTTTTCTGGATAAGCAAATGGATGACAACCCAATGAACATTCACTATCTCTCTTTCTCTTTTTGTTGCTTTTCCACTTGTACATATAACATTATATTCTAACTAACAAAAAGAAAACATTTCTTTTGTTCAAAGTTCTTTCTCAAACACAAATACAAGAAATCTATAAACCTTTCCAATGGCTTCCATCACCATGACATCCTCTTTCTTGGGCGGCTCCGTCATGGCCCCGGCCAAAGCCCCCGCGGCCGACCACCGCGGGGTTGTCATGGTGAAGGCAAGTTCATCAAGTAATGTGGTGATGAACAAGAAGAAAGAGAGCAACAACAGTGGGAGAAGGGAGTTGTTCTTTGCCGTGGCGGCAGCCGCTGCTTTGTCCGTCGCCACGGTGGCGATGGCGGACGAGGAGGAGCCGAAGAGGGGAACGGCGGAGGCCAAGAAGAAGTACTCTTCAGTTTGTGTTACAAATCCAACTGCAAGAATTTGCCGCTACTGATGAAGTGAGGGAAGTTTACAAATTACAATATGCATGTTCTTTTGTAGTACATTATGGATGTAAAAACCTTTCTTTCATGTGATTTAATATTTTACTTTTCACGGATCATAGAAAATATTTGCATAATTACGTTACTTATAAGGTAACAAGGTAAATCCCTACGATCAGGCATTAATTAATTGGACAAATTGAATAACATACCACATGTTCTTTGTCATTACAAAAAAGCAAAAGCTATGAATTGAATTTAGATCCTATAGCACCAAAAAAAAAAAGTTATGTCGCTAAATCCTAAAGTGCAACGATATTATGGATTGAAATCCGTCGCTAATCCGTTTTAGCATAGACTTTTCCGATTTAGCGTCTATCGCTAATTTAACTAGTGTTGCAAGAGTTAAAAGATGACCACACTTCTTATGCAAGATATAATTTTAACTAATCAATTTACTCAAACTATACATTCTTTCCACCTTAAATTGTTATCCGTTTTTGAGAGTTAAATTGAAGTTTGAATTTTGTCCTGTGTGAAATTGGATAGTAGCAAGTCTGTCAATATATTACATATTAGGAAAAATACCTCGAGTTGAGTATGCTACTGGCAAAGTGAGACAATTGACACTCAAATATGCTCGTGAACAACTTAATGGTGAAGAGGACCACATTTTTGTCAATTTAATTCTCTAGAGTCATCCGGAGAAAACAAAGAACCAAAGCAACATAAGTTCATTTGACACCACAAATTTTGTGGATAAAGTTTTGGATCTACCCTTATAGCATTACTCCTCATCACATATAAATCTTACTCAAAAGACCTTCAATTTATATGCAAATTATAACTTGGCATCTCTGAAAGAAATTAAAACCTCCCAACAATGGCTTCTCTACCAAGTTCATCCTCATTCCTTGGCAACTTAGCCACCACCATATCCAATCCACCTCCGGCGACCACTCGGGGAAAGATTGTGATGGTTAAAACCTCTAAGGTTGAGAAGATTGAGATAAACAGAAAGGAAGAGAATAGCAGTGGCAGGAGAGAATTGGCTTTTGCCTTGCTAGCTTCTGCTGCTGCAAGTTCATTTGCAAGAATTGCCATGGCAGAGGAGGAACCGAAGCGCGGTACACAAGAGGCAAAGAAGAAGTATGCCCCAATTTGTGTCACAATGCCCACAGCTAGAATATGCCACAAGTAAGAATTTTCATGTGCTATGATGTATGCAGAACTTAGCAGTACAAATAAATAATAAGAGTGACTATTTCACTATTGCTTCAATCATGTAAATGTGAAATTTCCAATTCCAAGGTTCACAGTCATGACCACAAAAGTGCATGGCAATCTATACATGTGAAAGTAGCAAGTAGAATCGAACACCACCATTTAGTTGGTCTTTTTCTTTCTTATGAGAGGTGCTATGATGTCAAAATCTGTAGAAAAGAGCTCAATCTAGTGTAATATGTTTACAAAGAGCTATTCATTACGTTTACAACCAGCTAACTATCTCAACAAAACAAGCATATACATTCAGAGCAATTCCATTGTGTCAAAGCAAAGTACAATGACGAGGTACGTGGTATGACAGTGACAAACACAGCTATGGGTGTGGGGAGGTGAAATACTGCTCTGGCCCCTCTGGCAACATCAGTAAACTAAATGGAAATCCTAATCCTATGTGTTATAGTCCCCAAAGCAGGGGCAGGCAAGAACAGTTTTGACACATCAAAAAGGTCCTAATGTAAACAGCAAACATGAATAAATCAAGGAGCAGACAAACTAACTCGAAACAACACCTTTAAAAACACAGCAAATTTGGACATGTACAGGAGGTTTAAAAGACAATCCTCTGAAAAAATCAAGAGAAAAAACAGACCATTGTAAGATCTTGTTTACTCTTCAAAAAGAAACAAAAAATAAACAAGAAGGAAAAGAAACTGCAGGGTACTGTTGGTCTACAAGTGAAGTACTACAAATGCTTGCAGAATATACGTCAAAATTCTCCACTTGTTTCAACTGTTACCAATAGATAACAGGCTAAAGACATGGGCACCAGTTATACCTCCTTGCTCAATCTTGCTATTTTGCAACAGGAAAGACATGGTCAGTCCATACTTTTCCCATTTTGCTGGGAAGCAACATAATTGCGCACCACTTCAATTGCCAATTGATGGGCATTTTTATCTTGGATGCTTGCAAGTGCATCCATGGCTTCGTAAGTCTCTCTATCAGCAAATAGCTTCAAGTTATATCGAGATGATGACTCAGGGATGCCTTCCCATTTTTCAACAAACTCCCCAAGTTTCTCAAATCCCTGGAATAAAATTATCATCCATAAGATAAGAATCTTATATGATTCAGATTCCCCATTCAAAGAATACAGAATGAAAGAAAAATGGTGTTTCCTGTTTCAATCAGATTTCTTTTTGTTACAAATACAATGCTATCTACTAAACGAAGTGTTCCTTACCATGCGGTTTGTGAAGTCGCCAAATGATTCTTTAGATTGTCGCTTTCTTCTCCAATGGAAAAATAAAGGCTCCAGAACTTTTTCAAGATCTTGAACCTTAACCTTATCCTTGAAAGTTTTTGCCAATGAAGTTTGATTGGGAGTTCCACCGAGCCAGATCTAAAACAAACACATTGTAAGTTTCATTAGCGCTCGGGTTTAGACAATCTAGGTCACCATAACCATAGATGCTAAACTACAGCAACAACACAATAGATCTCAACAATTTCAACTACCTGATAGCTGTTTGGACCATCTCCAACCAAGCCAAGTTCAGCCATGTATGGTCGAGCACACCCATTAGGACATCCTGTTATCCTTATGACAACAGATTCACTGTACTTCAGACCAACCTGGAACCACGAAGGTCAATCTCATTCAATATACACCAGCAACCGATTGTACAATTAATAATTTAGAAAGGGCAATACTTCATACCTTTTCAAAAATAGCTCGAACACGCTTGAGGATGTCAGGTATTCCACGCTCAGCTTCAGTTATTGCAAGAGGACAAAGAGGAAAAGCCGGGCAGGCCATTGCTGTTAGATTGAGTGGATCCACATACCTAGGTTGCTTTTCAAGAAAAAATAATAAAGATTACCCAAGAGGAAGACCATAATGAAATGCCAAAAACAAAAACTTCAGGGCATAGGACCATCAGGAAAAGTTTGCAACTATCTATTTTCTGTATTCTAGAAGTTTTTATTAAGGAAAACTAGAGGAAATTTGCATCAGCTCCCTGGTTCACCTAGCCCTCCTTATAAAACATATGTGCCACTTCATTCACATAAAGAAACAGCAGCTCAAATTTTTGGAAACTCCTGTATAGGAAAAAGTATGCGAGTAACAAACCCGCAAGTACAAACTTTGCAAAATTTCAGCAGTATGTGTACCATAAGTAATAACTTCAGTTGACACTCGTCCTTCGAACCCCAGCCATTCTTGTGGCTCGGAGGTAGTAGTAAAAAGTGAAATGCAAAAATTGGGGGGAGGAAACTATCAGACAACTCCTAGGATATATTGGAACTCCAGCACTTTTAACAGGTTTATACCTATTTCAGACTGATTGCATTCCATAAGCACTTTTTTAATTAGAAGTACAACCATTTTGTGTATTATGGCATTCCATAATCATGCATACCTTCAAAGATACTGCTATGCGAAACCTGTCTACTCATTGAGAAATCTAATTATTCATTCATGGAAAGCATACGTGGATCAACAGAATACTTAGCCTTACCAGCAAACCACCCTGTGCAAGAACTATGGTGATGGGGCGCTTCCACGCTTGTCGAATATTGCACAAGATAATATTCTGGTTGGGTGTGAGACGCACATTCAGATTATACTTCTCAATAACTTCCCTGAGTGCCTTCTTCATCGCTCCTTTTACACGACCATTGTCAACATGTAGACCACAAAACAAGCTACCATCTCCCTGACAAAAGTATTTGAAGAACACAGCAGATATATCAAGGGTAAACATCACAATAACCACTAGTATGGAACTAATTGCCAGAAATGAAAGTTTGATGAGTTCCTACTACAGACTTACCGCTTCATGCCATCCCAAATAACTCTTGAATTCCCACTCAGGCAATTCACGGCAAAGTTCAAACTTCTTTCCATAATACTGTTCAGTGACAGATCGAAACTTCTCGATTCCCCATGAGCTGAGTAAATATTTCAATCTGCTGTATCTGCGATCATCTCTTCTGCCGTGTTCTCTTTGAGTAACAACAATGGCTTTAACAGCATAGAGTATATCCTCTTTAGGCACATAACCTAATGGCTCTGCCAATCGAGGAAAAGTGGTTTCCATCCTATGAGTTCGCCCCATACCACCACCAACCTGCAAAAGACGTCAAGGATAAGTTACATTAGTCCCTAGAACAAGCAAAAGGAGAAAGAAGCAAGAGCCTAGATTGCCTTCTTACATATATGTTGAATCCCTGAGGCTCTCCATCCTCATTAGATACAACAACAACACCTATATCATTTGTGAAAATGTCCACCGAGTTATCAGTTGGCACGGTAACTGCAATTTTGAACTTCCTTGGCAAGAACTGAGTTCCATAAATGGGTTCAGGTGAGTCAGGGAAGTTTGTTCCATGGGAGTTATCATTTCGAGCTTTCACAACTTCAGGAGGTTCTGCTGTCATAACTTTCTCCCCATCCACCCAAACGTCATAGTAAAATCCAGACTGGGGAGTTAAAAGTGCTGCAATGTTATCAGCTGTTTGTTTAGCAAACATATAATCTTTTTTAGCAAATGGGGCAGCTGGAGCAAGAACGTTCCTATTGAGGTCACCACATGCACCAAGAGTTGAACCCATGTTTTTGATGATTGTACTCATTACTGTCTTGAGGTTTTTTTTCAAGACCCCATGCAGCTGAAAGGTCTGTCTTGTTGTCAAACGAAGTGTCCCAATTCCAAATTGGTCAGCAAGATCATCCATGACCAAGTAGAGTCTGTTTGGTACCTCCCCACCAGGGTTCTTTGTCCGAAGCATGAATGAGTATGATCTTCCCCCACGCTCATCTCTGTCGTATTGCATATAGCTTCCATGGAACTTGATCAATTGTGTTGCAGCCTCATTGATGTTGGGGGCATCATTTAGAATCTCCTCATTAAGAGGATACCTTATGAAGTTACTCTGTTCTTTGAATATTTCAACCTTACTACGCTTGGGCTCCACTACAGCTGGCTTTGCTGGCTGCAAAAGATCAACGGATGTGTTAGGCTCACACAGTAAAATGAAAAATGACAGAATTTCTCGTAGCATTAGGCCTATGAAACATAGATTACAGTGGTGGTTTACAGAGTTGTAGTTTTTCCTTTCTATGATACAATCAATAAACAAAAAATTAAAAATAAGCAAAAGGCAAAACGAAATAATTTGAATATCTAGACTTTTTACCTTTTGAATGATTAAAAGTCGAGCCTTTACTAGCAAAAAATATGTAGACTATACTTTTTATTAAAAAAGTTATTTTTTGAATATATATAATTTACTAGCAAAAAGCAATGTAATTATATTCCAGCTCAGAAAACTGTCAAATTACCTTTGTTAAGAAAAAAAACAAAAAAAATCATGGCATATACAAAAGAAAAATGAAAACAAATCACAGCAATTCAATCAGTTCGCACATAGAGCTGCAAAAAAAAAGGAACCAAAATGATTTTCTAAAAAGTTAAAAGTGAAATTGGCAAAAGGTGGCGAAATTGCTTGAAATTTAAAATTTATAAGGGGCCAAGGACAATAGTCAAATTACCTTGGATTTTTAAAAAAAACTCAAAAAATGCATGGAATACGAAAATCGAAACAAATTCACCAAAAAAATCCACATCGACACTTCAATCAATAGGCAACAAAAAACATTTCATTAAAAATTAAATTAAAGCATCAGGAAAAGTAAATTAAAATGGACAAAAGTAAGCTTTTTTTATACCGTAGATACGGCGCGGACAATTGAACTAGGATTCGACGGGGAAAAGGACTGAAAAACGTGAAGACGTCTGCTAAGCAACAGCGAATTGGAGGTGCTTTTTAACCCGGTGAACTTCTGAATTTGGTGCTTCGGGTTCGGGTCATCTGCGACGGCGATGTTAATCGCTGCTCCAAACGACGTCGTCATCCTTACCCCTAGCGAATATCAAATAGAGGAATAAACCTAGGGTTTTTACGAACAGCGAATTTTGTGAAAATGGCGGAGAGAGTGTTACAGATATATTTGAGGAAGTGGGTGAAAGGGAATATTTGGGTGGTGAAGAAGGAAGGCGGAGGATTGATGGCTTTCTTTAGTGCTTAGTCACGTGCCTAGCACGAGACAGTATCTTTTACCTCTTCACGCGCTGATAATTGGTACGTGAAATACTAACTCATAAGCCGCTTTTCAAATAAGCGACCTACAGTCGCACTTACATTTTTAAAAAACTATTTAAGCTAATGATATTTCCCAAATCGTCAGTACCTCAATTAACTTAG